CCTTTAATCCCAGCACTCAGGAGACAGAACTCTGTGAGTTCGAGGCCAGTCTGGTCTACAAAGTGAGTTCCAGGACAGGCTCTAAAGCTACAAAGATAAACAGTCTCAAAAAAAAAAAAAAAAAAAAAAGAGGATAACCGAAAACCTAAAAATGTCAACACTCAGCTGAAGTCCCTAAACGTCAGTTTGCTTCCCAGCCTACCTGACTGGGTGAATGCACTGGCCCCTCAGGCTCCTATACATGAGCAGCCTGTCCACATCAATGGTGGCTCTAGAGGCTATGGAACCTGAGAGACACTAGCCAGCCCTGCTTTCTGAATCCTAACATACCAGCAGATATATGAACACTGTGAGCTCTGCCCACCAAGCCTTTCCCATCATCTGTATTAGAGGGCTGCTGGAGTCAACAAAACACAATCTGCCCAGCAATGTGTGCCATCCACCTCCACTCTCAGGGACAAGGTGGCACTGAGAAGAGCAGCATCTCGGGAAACACAGATTCACAGTCTCCTCCTCACCATCACCATACCTCCCCCATAACCACGGGCCCATCTCTCTCCCTGCACCTCGCCTTCAGAAATGACAGTTACAGTTTGAGAGAAGTGAGTGATGCAGGGTACTTATGGACCTGCGGGGAGAGAGGACCAGAACACCCACCTACACCTCACCTGCTGCTGGCCTCACCCTACACCTAGCCTGTCCTTTATCTTCTCATCAGACACAAAAGGATGTACCCCACCACCTAGCTCACAAATGTGCAACGCCCACTTCCACCTACCCAAAGCCCCAGCACTCTCGGAGTATGAGTTAACAGTCCTCCTCCTGCCAGGCATGAGGCTACAGCAACATGGAAGAGACGATGGCAGAGTTGCACAGTGGCAGAGTACAGACACTGCAGCCAGAGGGGCATCTACACAGCCTGGCTCTGCCTTTCCAAGTCAATGGCCTGAAACTTGCTACTTTACTTTCCAATGTGGGAGAATGGGCCCACGCCACCCTCACATGCTGTTAGGATTCAGTCAGTTAATACATAAAGCTCTGAAATCAGGGTCTCACACACAGCTGATACTTCATGTTAGCTGCTTATTACAACGGTTACTGTCATTACTGATCATGACATGCAAATACAAGAATTGCATAGAACATCTTAATGACTCAATGTTAGCATTTCATACCTGACACTCAGACATTGCCATGGTTTTGTACGGAAAAGAATCAGACGCTTACTGTCATCAGTTAAAGCAAAATAGCTGCCAGACTTGGAGAAGGTGGATGCCAGAATCGTGTCGCTCCCCTTGTCTACGGGCTGTCCATTCTCCCTGAAGAAGGGCAGGGGAAGAAAGGAAAACAGTTAGGCCTCACCTGAGTTGCCAGGTTTATCCAATCTAAGAGAGGTAGAAGATGCTTAGTCAAGCAGTTCATGTAGCCAGTGCATGATGACAGACTAAGGGGAAGTTTAGAGAACAGCTTAAATTTTATAAGCTGTGAAACCTAACTCAACAGGATCTCTGCTAACATCCATTGCAGGCTGGAAGGACCCTCAGCAATCACACGCCTCACCTTCAAGGCTAGAGGCGGGACCTGCGATATTAATAGTCACAAGACCAAGCTACCACACAGAACAATCACATTGCTGTGGACCTTTCAATCAGTTAATTCCCCACGCCTGCCTGCAATGCCTTTGAAATGGTCACTATTACTTTAAGGGGCCAGTGACAAAAAAGATTACTAAAGACACTAAGAGTATTTGGGAAGGTCCTCAGTATTCTAAATTTAAAGTTATTTCCACGTTTCTAATGTTACCACAACTAGGTAACAGGAACTACAACTTGGGACAAGGCAGCAATTCCTGCCGTGGCTTACTGGTCTCAGCACTCAAACCACACACCAGCCGGCTTCCCCACCATCTCACCCTTTCTCTTCTGGGGTGGACTTCTCCGCAGCACTGCAGTCGTACGTGAAGACACAGTCATCGTCACTAGAGGGAAGAAACAGTGAGAACTGATTAACACAAAGGACCGATTCTTCTTACTCTTGGACAAAAACACCTCATCATCATTGAATTATGGACCTTCTCCACAACAGAGGGGAGCCAAGAACTGTCTGGCATCTGCTTAACCTCCTAATGAGCTGCATCATGGACAGTCAGCACGGTTCTATTCCCAATCAGTTCAGCCTGGAATCAATCTACCCTTCTTTCAGGCACCAAGATGCTGACTCTAAGAAATTATGTTCTGACATTGTTTCCAACTGGGCTCTGCTCCCAAATTTAAAACAGCTGAGGCTGTCCTTACACGAGCCAGAAACATGTCACACCTGCTGGCTTAAAAAAAAAAAAAAAAAACCTCAGGCACCTACTCATATAGGAATCACCCACTTTCCCTGTTGGAACCTAAGTTCCCTTCTGTTGCTGACCCGGTACCCTAGCACAATAAAGCACCTTGTACTATTGACGTTGCTGCTCCAAAGACTTTTCCAATTAAACACTGAACTAAAAAAGAAATGTCATTTTCCAAGTCTGAAACCCTTGCTGGCTACTAGCATTGCCAAGATACAAACTGAGGAACACTCCTAATCTTCAAATGTCAAAGTACCAAAACTAAATGGGAACAGAAAAAGAAGCCAAAACGGACTGCCACGGATTCCTTGGGCTCCTGGGCTATAACTACATGCTCAACACGGACTGATTTATGACTCCTTTAACCGAAACTACGGATACAGACATAAAGACGGAAATAACATAAAGCAAAACCAGTAGTGTGAAGGACCTCTAGGGAGATGCCCGCTTCAGGCTATGCGTGCATCCTGGGTTTGGGAGGCGTCGGGAGAGGAAGCACGTTCTGCGCTGAGAGCCCGCAGAGCTTTCAACAGGGAGGTTCCAAGCAGGTCAGCCTGGAACTCTAGGACTCAAGTCTTGTCTACGCGACACCCACGTGACAGGCCCTCCCGATGACGCGCAGACGCCGCAGAGTCCGGAAGTGCTCCGACTCGGAACGGAGAAGAGCTCTCCGGGCCGCCCGTGCAGGTCGTGGGGAGCTGGGTCGGTGTGAGGGGACTCCGAGGGCAAGGACTCCCGAGAAGGCCTCACAGGGGACAGCGGGGATACGGCTCCGCGGTGGGCCGGCCGCCCTCGGCCCGGGCCTCTTACCTGCTCGCAGTGGAGATGGCCAGGAACCGGCTGCCGCCCCGCACCACCAGCGTTTGCCCGCACAGCGCCAGCCCCGCGGAGCTCGCCATGGGCCCGCCCGCGGCCTCCGCACACGTGCGACGCACAGCGCCCTTCCTGCTGGCGCTGGCTAGTGACGTCACTCGGCGCCGCGCGTAGGGCGTGCCTGCCTGGAGCATGCGCACAGCGAGTGGTCTCCTTTGATCTAAGTACTTGGTGACGCTAGGGCTACAAAGCTCGGTTATCATGAGCCCCGAATGTCCCTTTCGTATTGATTAGCTTTTCCGGCCGTTAGCTTCGATAGTTGTAAGGCTTCCTCTTGGACAGAACCTGGTACCCAGTGGGTAAAAAGTTGTTGAATGAATGGCGTCAGTGCTGGATGGCCAGACCATGTGACCGCATGCGTGCGTGGCTGTCTCAGTTGCATCAAGGCAGAGATCGCTGGAAGTGTTCTTACCCTCCTCGTGCAGGACAAAGACGCCTTTAACCCCAAGTGTCAGATGTGTTTAAAGACGTGCTTCCCCAGATCCCCGAATAGCTCATTCCATCCCAGTGACTCTCAAGGTCCAGAATGCTGTGGTCTCTTATAGATTGGATGTGGGCCCCCCAGTATGGATCTCCTAAAAAGATGGTTTACCTGCCCCACCCACCCATCACATTACATCCTAGTGAAAAGCTACTTGAGCGGGTAAGTCTGTGCCCTGCCTCAAAGTCACAGTCACTGTACTGTGTAGAATTGCCGCCTTAACGCTGAGTGGTTCCCTGAGTGAGCCTATTTTATAAAGCAGTAGTTGGCTCCATTTTTACCTCAAACTGAGTCAGAATGACTCTTCATTTTGCTTGTGCAAATAAACATTCACCACCTGTCTAATGCAAAGCATAGACTGAAAAATCACTTGTGCAAGTGAAATCACCATCTACAAATGTATCATGGGTGAACCAAAATCTTATCAGAGAAGCCACGTCCTGAGCTTATCAAATGCCAATGAATAATGCAAGCCTGGGCCTTAAAGAGAAAGTGGGGCCTGATGCTAAGGTAACTCGGGACCCACCTGTCATCAAGCCCTCCTACACAGTCCTGACAGTGTAGAAAGGCACTCATTTACGTAACAGCTTACTCAAACACTAACATGTGAAGGGGGCAGGGGAGGGGGGACACGACACCCACAAGACAGGATCCTTGGTCTATCACAATTCTGAAGCCCACTGCAAAGTTTTTAGTATTTATAAGAGCAGGTTTTGTCTTGATGGGGCCTGAGATCTGCCCTCTTAAGTGCCTCTCCTCCAGAATCTTCTTGGCTGCTTTGATGAAAGTGCCCTTTGAGCAACATTCCCCCCTTACTTTCCTGCCCTTGGGAAATCTGAAACCAGAGGTCTTTGTTCCTGTTAAATTCCCCATTCACCTTACACCCATTGGAGCTGCTTCAGTCCAGCTTTCTGGAAGGCTGTTCAGTTTTAACTCCCCTAAAAAAAGGCTCCAATTTAAACATAGCTGGGAAGTTATTGGCAGTTGATGGCTGCTGGGAGAGGAGGAGTCAGCTGTCTTCAAGAATGTGGCCTCTGCCAAACTAGGTCCTCTGAATGTGGGTGACAGTTGAGTGGCTGGGGCAGTCTGTGGGGCCACTGGCAATGGATCCAGGATTTATCCCTAGTGCTTGAACTGGCTTTCTGGAGCCCATTCTCTTTGGAGGGACACATTGCTCAGCCTAGGTATAGGGCGGAGGGCCTTGGTCCTGTCTCAAAGTGATGTGCCAGACTTTGTTGACTCCCCATGGGAAGCCTTTCCCTCTCTGAGGAGTTCAAGGGGGCAGGAGGAGAGAGGAAGGGAAACTGGGATTGGTATATAAAATGAGAAAAGATTGTATTAAATAAATAAATAGAAAAAAGAAGAATATGGCCTCTGAGAGCCATATGACCCATAATCTAGTAGATGGTTCCTCACTCATGCATACTGGCAGCACCAAAAGGCTCAGTGAACTAAACACACACACACACACACACACAAATTTGGGAGGGAATAGTGGCGGTGAGGAGAGGGAAGGAGTTGGAGAGGAAGGAATAGAGGGCAGACTTTATCAAAACACATATGCATGTTTGGAATTCTTAATAAAAATAAATAAAAGAGCAGAGCCAGGTCAGGTAGTGGTAGCACACACCTTTAATCCCAACACCTGGGAGGCAGAAGCAGGGGATCTCCCAGTTCAACCAGCCTGGTCTACAGAGTGCATTACAAGACAGTCAGGGCTACACAGAAAAACCCTATCCCAAAAAACCAAAAATAGTCGGGTGGTGGTGGCTCACACTCAGCACCCAATACTCAGAAGGAGAGGCGGACGGATCTGTGAATTTGAGGCCAACCGGTCTACAGAGCAAGTTCCAGGACAGCCAGGCTTACACAGAGAAACCCTGTTTTGAAAAACCAAAAATAAATGAATAAATAAAAGAGCCTAGCATGGTGGCAATGCCTTTAATCCCAGTACTCAGGAGGCAGAGGGAGGCAAATCTCTCTGTGAGTTCTAGTCTACGTATGGAGTTCCAGTCCAGTAAGGACTACATAGTGAGACCCTGCCTCAAAAAACAACAACAGAAAAGAAACTAGAGAGATGGCTCAGCAGTCAAGAATGTGTGCTGCTTTTCCAGAAGGCCTGCCTCCAGGCAGCTCACAATTGCCTCTAACTCCACTTATAGGGCGTCTGATGTCCGCTCCTGGCTTCTACGGGCACTGAACCCACATGCACAATGCCTGAACTCACACGCACAAAATTTACACACTCTCTCTCTCTCTCTCTCTCTCTCTCTCTCTCTCTCTCTCTCTCACACACACACACACACACACACACACACACACACACATACACAAAATTTTTAAAGATAAAACTAAATAAATTTAACTTCCTCCTGGATTCTGTTCTGTGCTGGTGTCAAATATCAAACCTCTGAGCAAATGCTACCCAGAAATACTCTGGCAGCAGCTTCAGCTTTAGAATTTACTGGGCAACTCGCTTTGTGTCTCTGTCTCCCCGCTACCCCCCTCCTCTCTCGCTGCTAACTACATTCTTCCAATCCTCCTCTCCCCCCTCCTCCCTCACTGCTAACTACTCAGTTTCCTTCCCCCCCCCAACTTTCAAATAATTGTACCAATTAAATTGTCGAAGTCGAATTCCCCCAGGACCCTGCTGGGATACTGATTAGGAAATAATTGAATGTATTAGACTGTTTGGGAGAAAAATAGCATGTCTACAGTGTGTAGAAACACCTTTTCTTTTCCTCCAGTAGCTTCTCTTATCTCATAGCATTGTCTGACATTATCCTTTAAGGGCACAGAAAAAATGTTTAAAGATATTCTTACCAAAATATATGGGTTTTTGCTAACATAATGGGATCTTTTTAAAATTATATTCGATATTTGTTCCTGCTACCTAAAAAGATGCAGTTTATATTTTTGTAAATTACTCTTTCATCCAGTAGTTTTTCTGAACTCTCATCATGTTTCTCACTATCTCCTGGGACTTGCTAACAGACGCTGCCAGCTATCCTGGCATGTGGCCATCTGCTCTTGCCAAGGAAGGGGCCATTGCAGGCTGCTCCTAGGTCTTCAGGTCAGCTGTGTGCCAGATGGGTTTAGCCAGAATTCCCAGACACAAAAAAATGTGTTCCCCCAACAGCTCCCGCCACTGTTGAACAAGCCCATGATGATCCCTGTCACCCACAAGTGACCCCACATTGACTTTGTGGTACCACCCCATCTCCATCCCAAAGGAGATGGTGACTTGCTGCTGAGGAGAATCTCTTCAGCCCTTATGTCATGATGCTCTGTGCTTAAATGTCCCCACCAAAATTCACATTGAAATCGAGTCTTGGAGACTAGAAAGACGGTGCAGGGGTTAAGAGCATTACCTGCTCTTTCAGAGAACCCAGGTGCAATTCCCAGGATCCATGTGGTAGCTCACAACTGTCTGCAACTCCAGTTCCAGGGAATGGATCACCCTCTTCTGACCTTGGTGGGTACTGTATTCACATGGTGCACGATCATACATTCGGGCAATACATCCATATACATAAAACAAAAGGAAAGAAATCACAGCCTAGTGTGGTGGCTCACACCTTTAATCCCAGCACTCAAAAGGCAGAGAGGCAAGCAGATCTCTGGGAGTTCAGTGCCACTATGATCTACATAGTGAGTTCCAGGACAACCAGGGCTATGTAGAGAGACCCTGCCTCAAAAAGAAATAGAATAAATAACTTTTGAAAATGTATTTATGTATTTTATGTATATGAGTATTATTCCTTTAAAACGGCGGCGGGGCGGGCGTGGGTGTGTGGACAAACACAGGATAGACGGACGCAAAGGAAGAGACGGACACGCGGCTCCCACGTGGGTGCGCTTTAATGGGGAGAGGGAAACACGGTAAGGGGTGGGACGTGCAAGACACACAAGGGTAAAGGAAAAGGGACCAAGGGAGCAAGAGAGCGAAACCTCGTGGAGCGCTCGCTTTTAACTGGGGGCGCAAGGTTATCTGGGAGTAATGGTCTTCACCTGGGCGCGCCAGCGCGCCCAGGTGACGGTAATCCAGGAGAAGTCTGGGAGCTGTAGTTTCCAAGGAATAACAATGAGTGCTTTGTCTTCATGTACATATGCACACCAGAAGAGGGCATCAGATCATGAGCTGCCATGTGGGTGCTAGGAATTGAACTCAGGACCTCTGGAAGAGCAGCTCTTAACCACTAAGCATCTCTCCAGCCCCTAAATAAGATCTGTTTGTGTGTGTGTGTGTGTATTATTTTGCTTATTTTACATGCATGCTGGAGATTCGAACTCAGGTCCTCATGACTGCACAATAAATGCCCTTACCCATGGAGCCATCTTCCCCGCTAAATAACTAGTTTTTATATAAAAAAGAATTCAGGCTCCACTTTGAGGTATTAAGCAGTCAGGCCAGATGGGATAGTGTAGAGGTAACTAGGTCACAGGGGACAAAAGCACCCATGCATCAGCAGGTCAAAGAGCTCTCTTAGGAGTGGATCTGTTAGTGAGGCCAGGCTGGATGGCCCTCAGTCATGTGATGCTTTGCACTGCCTAAAACCTCTGCAGAGAATCCACCTTACACTCCCAGCCTCCAGAACCTTAAACTTAAATAA